TCAACAAACGGATTTTCTAGATTCATACTCTGGCAACAGGAGTGCTTTTCCTATGAGTAGGCATAATTGGAACATGGAATTCAAGGATGCTGCCTCGGCTGCACAGGCAGCTGCAGAATCTGCTGAACGTGCTAGCATGGCTGCAAGGGCAGCTGCTGAACTTTCAAACCGTGAAAACATGACAAGGCAGTATTCAGGTGGATCACATAGTTCTTCTGGCAACGGGTTGAGAGATGAAAGACCCCAAGGATACACCTTTCATGATGACAAAAATATTTCTACAAGTTCTGTTCATGGTAACTTCCACAGAAGCAGTTCTGAGGCGCACAATGAACAGATTTCTACTAGAGAACAAGATAATCTGGTAGGACACAGCGAATATTACAGGACCAGTAATGAGAATGTGGTAAAACATTTCCAATCGGCTTCATCAATGTCTGGTAGTGCTTTTGGAGACGATAAACCTTTAACGGATGGTTCTCAAACGGCTGATATGTATCATCATAGGAACTCATTTGAGCAAAAGAATAGTGACTTACATGAAACGAATTTAAGAATGCAACCAGGTAGACATGAAGAAGATTTTGAGACTGACCTATATGATGACAGAGATTTGAATACTGAAAACAATTATCACTTTGGAGATGCAAGGACAAATAAACCATCTAGAAAAGCTTCCGCTTCTCATCTCGTTACTCCAAGTGATGATCACGGTGATGATTTGGACTTGAATGGCTGGAAGACTGGGAACAAAGCTGTGGAAGACCATTTTGTTGATGATGAAGCAAACACTCAGAGAAACTTTACAGGAACAGCTTCTTATAATGATAACTCTGTTCTGTTCGATGATTCTGGACCGGAGGATGATGATGAATATAAGTTTGATGTTGATAAGAAGTACAATAGGGAAGGATCTAGTTTGTTTGTCTCATCCCCTGGTAGCAGATCGCAAGTTGATTCTTGGAGGCATGGACAAAACATTGATGAAAAAGTGACAAGTTTTAGTACAAAGTCACATTTTTCTGAGGTTCCTGAAAGATTGACAGCATCTGCAGTTTCTTCTGAAAAAGAAGACATGTTGCCCGTCACTTTTGATGATTCAGATGACCCAGGTTCAGATAGCGATGTGGGTTTGGTCGAGTCTAAGGTTTCTGGGCTCTCTGATTATGGAAATTCTTCCCTTAATGCCGTTGCAAGTCATGGGAATCTAGGCTCCTCATCAAGAAATGATAAAAATACGATGGGCACTGACAGAAAGTTGTCACCTTCAGTTGGTTCAGATACCATCGACGATCATTTTGAAAGAAGGATCGACACCGCTACTGTGTCAGAAAAGAATTTTGGCTATGATGACTTTTCAGCCAGTCTGCCATCTACAAAGGAAAGAAGCTCTACATCGGGTTTGGATCATGAGGCAAATAATGATACTGAAACCATGGAGGAATTTCACACAGAAAGTGGCAAGGAATTTGGCTATGGTACCTTGAAGGGTGGTCTTCGAAATAAAGGTTCCAAGCGGCCACCTTATATTAAGAATACGTTGGATGGTGTTTCGTCATCATTGGGGAACACTTCAATCCGAAATGAAAGATCTTTGCTTACTGGGATTTCTTCAATCGGTTTTGATACTCCTGTTCAGGACAGGGACGCGAGGGAAGTGAGCAGAGGAAACAAGACTGCGACCTCGGTAGTGGACAACATATCTTCCGATTCTGATAGTTATCGCGTAGTTGCAAATTCACAGGAGACTCCTGCTACTACTATTGAATCTCGCATTCAGAAAGAGCAAAGTGTAGCAAAAAATAAATCAAGCTCAAGGGCCTCTGTTACATACTTTGATTCTGATAATAGTGATTTTGAAGATGAACTTCCTAAACAAAATTCACCTGGTTTTGCCCGTCCCGTCAGTGGAATGTCTCGAAGGACAGCAGCTTCTCCTAAAGCCGGCACAGGTTTAAGTTCAAGGGATGCTCCATCCAGGGCGTCTGTGACTCCTGCTACAACACTTGGATGGAAATCTTCAAGGACTTCTTATGAGAATACTAATCAAAATGCTTCATCCATGACGAGGAGCTCTGAAAATTGGACAGGAACGAAGCCTGGATCAGCCAAAAATCAAGCAACTGAGCCAGTTTCAGAACCGAGAAGATCCTTGCATGGGGAAGTTTCGGAATCTCCTGCAAGGTTACAACCTTCCAGTGTTTCTAAAACAGTGATACAAGATAATAAAGAGGGCCAATATGATTCATATGGAGATGCTTCCTCTAACCAGAAGGCTGTGCACGTTCATCCGAAGTTACCCGATTACGATTCTTTTGCTGCCCACTTCTTGTCTCTTAAGAAGGGTCGTCCTTAAATTCTACTCGCATCAATATAGCAACATAGCTACTGGTACATAATCTTGATGGCTTATCTTTCTTTTGCAGCCTGTATTGTTACACTTAGATGCGTGATTTAATAGTCAAATTATTTGAGGAATAAGGATGGGATTTGTATTTTTTTTAGAATAAATTGAGTCAGAGTGTATAGGTTTCATTATCACATTTTTGTTACATCACAATTTGAGGACTATTGCACACAGTTGAATATTTCACTGTAAATATTTAGCTTATGCCACATTCATTCATGCACTTCCGCTTATACTAAATAATTAGTTTTACTAAATTGAATAAATTATGGTTTCGTCTATACAAATTTGATTTCTTTGTCATTTATATAAACTATAATTATTTTAAAATCTTTTTAAATTTGTATATTATAACATTTTTTTATCAGTGAAGTAATACTTTACCATCAAACTAAGTATTTTTAATTTATATTTTTTATAGTTTACCTAATATTAAAAATATTCACATCTGGTTAGAACCCTATAAATGGAACGTATTTGGCAAAAAAATCTAGTTGAGTATATTTCTTGGAGTATTTTTTTAATCTTTTCTTTTAGGTCATAAGACTTCAAACCAAAACCTTGTCTAATTAAAGGGATTGGGTTCATAAATATTAAAAACAACAATTTCTTAATACATTATTGAGGTTGAATGAGTGAAAAAAAATATAAAACTGATATTGTTTTCATGTACTATTTATGGATCGAAATATATTACTTGAATAGCTAAATGTTTAGATTATTTATAAAACTTGCAGCTTATGCAAAACTAAATAATCAAAATATTAAGGGATAGAATTTATATATGTACATAAATGGTTTCAACAGACTTTAGCACTTTTCATTTTAATAAAAAATAAGACGACCAATTTGTTGGATGATGTTATGATTTCAACAATCCAGACCCATATGAACTAAATGATTAATTTTTTATTGATTTCATTTTATCTCTAAAATGATTAAATTTGAATAATTTATTGAGTTTTTATGATAATTGTTCTGTGTGCTTTTTATGAAATTTACATTGCTTATATTTTGTAATCAAAATTTTAAAAATATTTCTTTCTTCTAAACGAAAATTTTCTTTGAGAAGGATTGTCTTGAAAAAAAATGCTTTAGTATCATGCATGAAAAGAAAGTCTATAGAAGTAAAATTTTTAACTATTCATCTCTGATTTAAATATTTTTGTAAACTAATTGCTTACAGTTATAGACTATATCTACTGTGTATATTCAATTTACATTCACATGTATAATAATATTATTTGATAATATATATGGTTGATACGGTGTTTTCAAAAAAATTAATTAATGTTTTCTTTAAAAGAGATATAAAAGAAATTCATTTTCTTATAAAATGTTATTAATATATTTAGATAGGAATATAAATAATTTACTATAGAAGATAGAATATATGTACTTATATATAATTGATCATGTGTACATTCATTGGTCTATTATCAAGAAAACACAGAATTATTATATATATATATATATATATATATGCCGTAAGAATGATAATTTGATAAAATATTCTAATTTAAATAAGGTTTAATTAAATTTTAAATATTTTTAGTTGAATTTTTATTATTTTTTATCCAGTATTTAAATTTTTTATATATTTTAATTAAATTTCGACTAATTATTTATTTATTTATTTATACTCAAGAATTATATATTTTTTAATTAGTTTTTATCGTTTAATTTTTTATTAATTGAATGATGTGATTATTATATTTACTTATTTTTCACATAAGAAAAATGATGTTATCAAGATATTAACATAAATATAAAATTAATATTCGTATTAATAAAAACTAGTTGACCATGTTCACATCAGCGACAACCACAAAGACAACTTCTTACTTCTTGTTGTAATTGATAACAACTTAATAGTAATGTAAGAATATAATAATCTTATTAATGAGAGTAATAACGTGGACATCATTGATGATCTTATTTTTAAATAAATTTTCAATACATCAATAAACATTATTTATCATTTTGCATTAATGTAGTATCATTTTAATATTCATAACAAACAAGATCTAACATTTCTTAATACATAAAAATAATAATAAAAAATTAGAGAACAAAATAATATTCATTTTAGCTATCAGAACCTTTGTGACACAATTAAAATAAAATTAAACACTCAATAAACTAAAAGAAATTAATAAAATTTCAATTAAAAATATTAAAACTTTTCAAATAAATCAACATAATTAACAAGGATAAATACTACTAACAGGATTAGAAAATAATTTAAAAAACTAACAGGTCAAAATTGAGAAAAAAAAAGTTGTTCACAATGGGCCAATGAAACTATTTTCTAACTTTTTCATTCTAGTTTGATTTCTAAACTATAACCTATAATTTTAACATAATATTTATTAACTTAAATACAGAAAATGCTGAAGTATGAGAAATAATCTATTAGTGGAGTAATCCTACGCACATGGAAATAAATATTTTAGTTTGTGATAATATAGAATATAATATAATATAATATATATAATATATAATATTATAATAATTATAAGCCGCCACCTTTGACAGTTAATAAAACATAGTATTGACCAAAGAGTTCATCTCATTACATAACTACATAAATGTGCTCAGACTGAAGCTTCAACCATACTTTCTCCCAGATCCATTTCTAAGCTCATTCAAGTCATCATCAGAGTGGAGAAACTCAGGTATATCTCTCCTCAATCTGTTCTTCTGTCCAAGCAACTTTCAGGTTTACTCCTACAAAGTCCATACATAAATCCATCCTTGCTAAAGTCTTTTTCATGCTAAAGTTCAATACTTTACAGTTTCTCTCTAACCATTAAAGTAAGAAAACCAGTATTTTTGTTTTCATTAAAGTGGTCGAAGAGTATGTTTTCTTAGCAAGAACTTGATGATATTTTATCTGGGGTACATTATTTCTCTTTCCCTTTGAAGGATCCTGCTCCTTATGGTGTTGGTTGTTGGTTTTGGTGGATTGCAGAGAAATGGAAAAGATCAAGGATCCATCAATTTACCGCAATCCAGTCATATTACAGAGCGAGGATTTAACCAAGGTCTGTATAATTTGTCTGTGTTTTCACTCATGGTGAGTTCACACACACACAGACACAGATTCATGAAATGAAAACTCATTGATCACTTGTTATGTATACCTTTCTGGTGTGACAGTATATATTGGAAACAGCTGTTTACCCTAGAGAACCTGAGCCCCTGAAGGAGCTGAGGGAACTCAATAAAGATCACCCTTGGTGATTCTTCTGTCCATTAATGTAACTTGTGTATTTGATTTGAGGCTTAAACAAAACTGAAAATTCTTCAATTTGTTTTTGGATATTCATTCAGGGGCTTCATTGCTACTTCACCTGATGCTGCTCAGCTAATGGCCTTACTTTTAAAGGTGTTGAATCCCAGAAAGACCATTGAAGTGGGAGTGTTTACTGGTTACTCCCTTCTCCTCACTGCACTCAACATTCCTCATGATGGAAAGGTCTGCATGCTTAAATTGTTATGCATGTCTTCATTATAACTAGTACTGAAACTTAATTTGCTGTTGCAGATTACAGCCATAGATATTAACAGGAAAGCTTATGACATTGGATTACCAGCCATAAAAAAGGCTGGAGTTGAGCACAAGATTGATTTCATAGAGTCTGCAGCTCTGCCAATTTTGGATAAACTACTTGAAGATGTGGGTTTGTTAAACTAAAACTCAGGATTCTAAGACTATGTGAATATTTACTCTTTTATCTAAAAACATACTTGAATGCTTGGGTGCAGCCTGCAAATGAAGGATCTTTTGACTTTGCTTTCGTTGATGCTGACAAAGATAACTATGTTAACTACCATGAGAGGCTTATAAAACTGATCAAGATCGGTGGTTTACTTGTATATGACAACACTCTGTGGGGAGGACGTGTTTGCTGGCCTGAAGAAAAAGTTCCAGAACACTTCAGATCAGGGAGGAATGCAGCAATTGAATTCAACAAGACAATCACAAACGATTCTCGCGTTGAATTTGCTCTTACTTCTGTAGGAGATGGTCTCAATATTTGTAGGCGCGTAGCTTGAGTTTTGTGTACTGATTATGATTACACTTTTTGCTTATCAGTAGTAACCAGTGTTATATGCACTGCTATTATATATTTTCAGCAGCTATCTCAACAAAATTTACTTTTTGTGCTCCTAATGAATGGTTTCATGTTAAATTTTTAATAGTTTATTTGTTTTTTCATTTAAAGTAAAATGGAAATATTGATAAAAGGCTAGCAGCTGTTGATTATGTCAATTTCGGAAATTTTAGATTAATTCTAACTAAACCATTAATCACAGGAATGCTGGATCAAAAACTAAAGTGAGCATCACAATCTTTGTTGTTAGTTGTTGGGATTTATGTAATATTACTAAATCACAAGTAAAATTTATTAAATAAAGTAAAAAACTTACAAAATTATGAGATTAATACATTCGACTTAATAATAACTATGTAAAAATGTTTGCTTATCCATCATATCTATTAGGACTTGCACAATAATATAGAACATTCATGATTGGATTACAGCCCATTAAATATATATGATCATACTGTGATTCTTAAAGTCCATACATAAAATCGCAAAAGCTTACAAAGAAAATGTTTGGCTATCAATTTAAGGCAACTTTATTAAGTAAATTACAGCAAACAGTAAAAGTTTAAATCTCACTCCAATATAGATATAAAAGTAACTATTGAAAGCTATTTAAACTAGACTTTGCAATGAAAAATGCAACATTAGCAGAAATTAGTTGTACTGTCATAACTTTTCACCAACCTGTAATACAGCCACTAGTTAGAAAAAAATATAAATACCGTATACGCATACGATCAGTTAGTTTTTCAAGATTTATTTGACCTTGACACTATTGTAGTACAATAATTTCCAATGAAAAATTACAAATACATCTACAAATCCCAACTTCCTCACTGTCAGGATCAGTGGATTACTTTGGAATGATTAAAAAGGCCTGCATGGTGTCCTCTGCTATGTACAGCAGAAGAATCAAATGATTGCCATGTTAAGCACCAACAGCGAATTGAAACGTCAACATCATCAATCACGAAACAACTAAATCAAACTTGAGAGAAAATTCGTCTTTAGGCTCCATCAGTGGTGAGGTTTAACTCTTGAAGCAAAAGTTTCAGCAACCAGCAGAGGGAATGCTATCGTTGCATCACAGTGGACCTGTTTTAATGTATAAAAAGACATTTAAGGCATATAGTAATGATGGTTGTCGGGTACCCTAGTTTCTTTTCATGAATATTAATAGTGTTTGAGTAGTTAAATATTTATTAATTGCTGGCTTTATAATAAAGGTTACAGTATGCATGGCTACATACAACAAAGTAAAACTGATGAGAAGGAATTATGAAAAACATGCTGAGAAAATTGGCATTGCTAAAGCAAACATGCAAGAAAAAAAATTCTGAGACCACTTGAGAAAGTATGCATAGGATGTACCTTGACAGTTTTAGCAGATCCACGTATTTTCCCCCATGAAACAGCCTCATCAGGACGCGCTCCAGAATCACTACCATCATATTCTTGTGCAGTGTTGATAAAAACAGCATAGTCTGCCCCATTTCGCATCATATTGGCATTGCAAATATGATGTTTTGGAAGGCCACCTCCTAAAATGATCATTCCCGTCTTCCTGGGATTTGCATGTACAGCTTCACCATTCATTGCCCTTATATCTGTTATATTGCAAACTATTTTAGTGATGGTTCCCAGATTTTCAAAGTCACGCATGCAGCAAAAAACAGAAAGAGTGTGGAAAAAACCTTGCACTATGTCCACAATCAGACCAGGATTGCGGAAGGAATGGAAGTACAGCATATCCCCCAACGAGCCATCGGTTAATCCCGGACAGAAAACTGGAATGTTGTTCTAGAAAATATCATAAAAAATGTTAATAATATTATATCGTAATATGTATTAAAATTCCAAAATTGTTCAGTGAACATCCAGACAAATAACTACATTGCATCTTGTGTGTGTGTATATATATACACACACACACACACTATTATATAGACCACAACAGATATGGACAACAGTCTAATTACGAGAACAATTAGGAAAAAGATTGAAATGAGAAACAGAGTAGTAGAGGGAGCAACACGACCCATTAAAGTTGGTCTAATACTTACCTTGTACGCCCAGTAAAGGTAAGAGCTTTCGTTGTTTATTTCTTTCCCCAACCGAGCTATTAACTTAGATGGTGTCCATAACACATTCTGCAAAACAGAAAATGCACCAAGGAAAAAGTTGCAAGTGAAAACTTCAAAGAAGTTGCTTTGTACAAGGTTTGGCAGGTCATTCAAAAAATCATAGCTTACTTAGTTTGATTTTGGTTTAGCACAAACTAAACATGAATCACAATTAGTACAAAATACAAATACAAAAGTATGAATAATAAATGAGACAGAAGGCGTTCCACAAAAAACAAACCACATAATTTGACATTGCGTTGAACTGATAAGTTAAATAAAATACCTCGGTATTTTGTTCCTTTAACATCTGATCAAAAATAGGAATAATCCAATCCTCAAATTTGCAGTAGTTGTCATTAGGGACCAACAAATTACCAATCCGATTCAACCCTTTTGAGCGTAGATACGCCCCAGGCAGAGAGAAATCTCCTATAAATGTTGGTGCAAGGCACTTAATAAGATCTTCTTCAATGCCACCTGTAGTTGTAACAACTACATCAACCTGCAGATTGCAAAACACATACCAAAAAAGGAAATTTAATAACTTGACTTGAATTTACTATTTAACCATAATGGTGTGAGAAGCATTGAAGAATACCATTGCAAAGGCTTGAATTGGCCTTCGAACAAGGGAAAGTAACTCACCATGCGATGCTGAAGAAGAAACCGAACAATGTCTCTAACACCAGAGGAAATAAGATTAGAAGTGAAACCCAGAAACACTTTACAAGTCACAGATTTTCGGTACTCCAAGTCCCTCTCATGGTCACTGCAATCCTCAGTCACAGCTTCATCAACTAGCCTCCAATCTAGCTTCAACCCAAAAATCACAACTTTATAAGCAAAAAGGCACAAATCCACCTAAACAAAGAAGTTGGGTCACACAAAACAAACCATTTGATTAACGACTTGGATGGCATCACCGAGATTCGAAGCCTGAAACCCAGTGGTGGCCATGGACCTGAGTAGCTGCGGATAGTTAACTCCACGGTTGAAATCATAGCCTTCAATCTTAGCACACTTTCCGTCAAGGCTTTCTGATTCTTTGAACACCGTGGAATGAACTGATGCTAGCACTTCTTCTTCCATTCTCTTTGTTTCTTCCATTATTCTCTCTCTCTCTCACCTCTGCTCGCAATGCCATCGGGGCGGTGTTTTAAGTTTTAAAATGTTTAACCCGTGTTTTTTATTGGGCCTTTATTTGACCCGTTTGCTTATTTTTGGGCCTTTTAAATACAGCGCTTTACAAGCCCAAGCCCATTAGGGTTAAGGTTATGATATATTTGAAGAGTCACATTCGATTTCTGTTGAGTGTTGGACGCTGCCGAAACCCTTCCCAAACCCTAAGGTATCTCTACTCGGTTTCTCCGGAATTTCAGATTCGTTCGTTTGATTGTACGGTGTAGTGTGAGCTTGTGATTGTGTTGTGCAGGTAAGTGAGTAATCGGTGGTTGAGAATGGTGGAGAAGGCGAAGGGAAGGAAGGAGGAGGTGGTTACCAGAGAGTACACCATTAACCTCCACAAGCGCCTCCATGGCTGGTAAATAATTCACTTTCTTTATACTGTGTTTTCTCTCCAATTTTTAATTTCTATTTATCAAATTGAGCCAGCGACATACAACACGCTTCAATAGACACCTTAAGTAAATTTATCATTATTGATCAATGATTCATGAGTTGAGTGGCATACACGTTCTGTTTATATGAGATTTTCGTGGTTGTGGAATTATAGCCGTTAGGTTCCCTTATGTAAGGAGACTTGCTGGTTATTATATTTTTGAGATCTAGCAGGGTATTGAATTATAAGTAGTGTTTTTCATCTGATATTGATATCAATGAGTCGTGCATAATGATTTTGGTTTATTGTAACTTGTTTCTTTTGATTTATATTATGTTTTGGTTCGAGATCAGTAGTCTTAGTTGTTTTTTAATTTATGAAAAATAGCACGTTTAAGAAGAAGGCTCCTAAAGCGATTAAGGAGATAAGGAAGTTTGCCCAGAAGGCCATGGGAACCAATGATGTGAGGGTTGATGTGAAGCTGAACAAGTTCGTCTGGAGTCAGGGAATCAGGAGTGTTCCAAGGAGAATTAGGGTAAGAATTGCACGCAAGAGGAATGATGATGAAGATGCCAAGGAAGAGCTATACTCCCTTGTTACTGTTGTTGAAATCCCTAAGGAAGAGCTCAAGGGTTTGGGCACCAAGGTTATTGATGACGAAGATTGATTTGTTTCTGTTTGAACTCGGAGACATATATGTAGTTTTTTTGTTTCTGCTATTCGGTCTTGTTTTTTCTAGATTATCAAATTACTCCTAATTTTATTGGGTTACTTTGAATTTTGTTGAGACGTAATGTGGTTTGGTAATATCAATTTAGTTTTTGCTTCTGTTTTTTTGTCTTTTCGTTAGGGCTGTTTTACTCATTCGTTATAACTTGGCAATCTGAGAAATTGAATAATGGTGATAACTAGGGTATTAAAAATCGTTACGGAAAATGTGTAATTAATTATGTTTGTTTTTTTTTATTTCAGTATTTTGAATGGTCTTTTTGAAAGAAATACATACTAAGCAAGCAAGTTGTTTACTCCCGCTTTGGTTGGTAGCTGTAATTCTGATATCAGCTTGAAGATGAAGCTTCTGAATTGTTGCTTTAGTTAAAACTTTTTCACTCCTTTTTCTTTTAAGCCTGTAGAATTTATTTCGTAGTTTATTGTTAAACAGAAATTCTTAAGAATTTTCTATTTATACTCTGTAAAGTAGTAACTTCTAAAAGACCAATGATGCCAAATCGAATTGGATAGATAAACAGTTATTCTTCTTGGTCTCGTTTACCAATAATCTTTACAAGAACAAGTGCCATTTTCAAAATGGTGAAACCGGTTTGTATCTCTTAATACAATTAGTCTCATTGTCACTTCTGAAACAGCCTTCATCCAGGAATGACAATCAACACAAACCCTAAGATTCTTGGTAATCCTAATTGGCATTCCAGGGCCAGTGTGAATGAGGGCAGATACAGCAGCAAGACGCTCACTGTGCTCGCAAACCCATGTTGCTTTCATATCTTCATTTATCTCATGGAGAACAACACTCGTGTTTGGTATATACCCCAAGTCTTTAATAGCATTTGTCAATTCGTTCCAAATTTTAATATACTCAGCAGAACGACGAAAATTAATGCTTCCTCCAGCCACAAATGTATGAATCTTATGCTTTATTCGTATCCAACTACACCCGGCATCTTTCTTGATTCCGGTCACGGCCATCATTTCCCTAACTCTCTTCACATCTTCCCACATTCCTGCATTTGCATATACATTTGAAAGCATCACATAATTTCCAGGATTGTTAGGTTCAATCTCAAATAGTCGCTCTGCAACTATTTCAGCTAGAGGAACATTTCCATGAAGTCGGGACGAGTTAAGCAATGATCCCCAAATGCTGCCACTTGGTCTCATTGGAATGTTCTCTGCCACAGTTAATGCCTCCTCAAGTTTCCCTGACCTACCCAATATGTCCACCAAACAAGCATAATGCTCTAAAGATGGTTGCACCCCGTAATCATGCATCGCATTAAACAATCTTTGCCCCTGACTGGTGAGTCCTGAATGGCTACAACCCGAAAGCAAGGCAACAAAGGTAATCCCATCTGGTTCGATGGAAGACCTTATCATTTCATCAAACAAAGCCAAGGCTTCATTTATTTGACCATTGATTGAGTATCCAGCCAGCATTGTATTCCATGATGTCAAATCCCTGCTGCGCATTCTGTCAAACACCTTTTCACAATAACCAATTTCCCCGCATTTTGCATACATATCCATCAACGAGTTTAGCAAAGGCACATCAGCATTCTTCCTAGACTTTATAATCTGGCCATGTATCTCCTTCCCACTATGAAGTGCAGTAACCTGAGCACACACGGGTAACACGGTCGTAAGGGTAACCCAACTGAATCCCATTCCTTCTCCCTGCATAACTCTAAAAGCACCAAGCGTCTCTGACGGTCTTTCTTGTCCAGCTAAACCAGCAATTAGAGTGTTCCAAGACACCACGTTTCGTTGAGGCATTACCTCAAACACCTTTAAGACCTCGTTTAAGCACCCAATTTCCACATAAAGCCCCAAAAGCGCGTTGTTCACCACTTGATCCGCTTCTCCAACATCATGCTTCACAATTTGGGCATGGATGGCTCTGCCAACCATTGCATTGCCCGAATGAGAACTCGCCTTGAGGGCCATCGAAAACGCGAAATTTCCAGGCTTTACGCACCGTGACAACATGTCACGGTAAAGAAGCAAAGCTTCATAGGAAAACCCGTTTCTTGAATACCCAATAGCCAACGCTACCCACACAGATTCTGGTGGGCTCTCGTGGCCAATTCGGAACACACGGCGAGCCTCATCGACTCTGCCGCAGACGGAGTACAGAGTGATGAGCTTGCTCTTCAACGTGGGGTTCTCCAAGACTCTGTTTTGAGAACGAAGTAAGTGCAAGTGGAGTTTTCGGCCATGTTCCAAGGACCTTCTGGAGATGCAAGCATGGAGGAAGAGCGAGATACCTTCTTCTTCTGCTTCTTTTTCAATGGGTGTGGGCTTTGATGATTCGATTAGGCGAAGAGCTTCGTCTAAATTGCCCCATTTGCAGAGGGATTTTAGGGTTGAATTGAATGGTGTTGCTCTGTGTTTGTGGGTATTTGTGATTCTGGGGGTGGAGGTGGCCCTTATCTTCGTTTTGACAGTTATGGTGGTTGGGAGAGAGATGGAAAGGAGCATGATGCAGACAGACACGGAGGAGGAATGGCTTGCTTTTTAAGGTTAGTTCTGGAACTCCGATGACGGTGTCAAATCTGCAGAAAAATAATAGTAATAAAATACCAAGATTTAGGATTATTGGTTTGAAAGAAAATAAGTTTGTAAGGATAATCGTAGATGTGATTAGAGAGTGGAAGTGTTTCTGAATCCAATGCAGTGAAGCCAGTTTCTTCCTGGAACTCCACAAGTTTCTTCCTATATTTTTTAATAAACAATCCAAAATTAAAAAATACTTTTAAATTTTATAGCACAAAAAAACAAAACGAGAAAAAATTATATAGGAGACGCATGAAGAAAACTATGGAAGTATATGAAGAAGCTGCCCCGCAAATATAAAGATGGTTGGGGAGGTGGATTAAACCATTTTTTTAAATTTTTTATTGCTCATGTACACTTGTTAAAATATTATTTGTATTTAGAATATTATTTATTTTATTTTGGCAGTGTGGTTTTAATTTTAACATTTAATTTAATAAGTATTTAAACATTTTAAATAGTATATTTCTCAGCATATTTAAAGTTGCATATCTCACCAAAAGCTATTTTTTTCGTCTACCTAAATTTTTTCCTTTACCTACAATATCCTTCTTTATTTTGTATACTTTAATTTATAGTATGAGTATATCTAAATTTGATTATGAAATTTCAAAAACCACAGTTTGGCTCTCGAGAATCTCAATGTTCGTTTCGAAAACACCTTAGTAAGAATAATTTTAAATATTCTAATTTTTTATGTTCCATGTAAGTGCATTTGTAACCACCTTCACTAATTAGCAAAAAATAAATAAAAAAGAATTAACAGTCTAAATTTACTCTTTTTTATTCATATATTTATTTACTCAGTCTTTTAGCTTTTTCATAAAAAAAAAATCACTCGCCGAATAATATATTTCAAATATCCTGATTTATTACCCCGTAGAACTCGCATTTTCTCCTCTATCACCTCGTCTTCTTTTATAGATAATGATACTTTCACAACATTTTAACACTATCTACGTATCATTCTGTGATTGGTCCATGTTAGTGTTTATGATTATTATTATTGATTGTGAAATAATTTTTGACCATCACAGAATAACACGTAAATGATGTTAAAATGTTGTCAAAAAAATACTGTCAAAGTATCATTATCCTTTTTTTATATTTGGTAGAAAATTTATTCATTATTTTTTAAATAATTATCAATAATTAAAATAATCATTACAATGTAAATCATTCATTAGAAATTTTAAAAGTAATTTATATTTTCAACAACGTTTGTTTATGGTGACCTTTAAATGTTATGTAATTTAAAAATATTTATCTGTTAAAAAAATTATTTTCATAAAATTAAACATTTGCGATATACATTAAAATTAATACTTTAATTATAAATACCAAATATGAAATAACATACAGTGTATTCGTATTTGAAACAAAATGACTTCATATAATTATGTAATATTTTTAAAAATTAAAGAAAAGGAATGCGCGCCACGTGGAGGGGAAGAAAAGACAAAGAAGGTTCTTCAATTCCTTCTTTGGTTGGAAGATGAAAGAAAGAAGACACCAAAACAACACGCTTAAGCAAAACCAAAGCCCAGACACCTCAAAACCACCGTTCTCTCTTTCTCTCTTTCGCTTCTCCTCTCCGATCCAATCCCAATCAAAATCCCCAATCTTTCTCACCTTCACTTCAAATTCCAATTTTTCAACCGGGTTCGTTTTTGGTACCCACCGTTTCTTCTTCATTCACTCAGCTGACAAAATTGATCAAAATGCTTTGACTTGGTTTTCATCAATTTTTTTCATGGTTTCAGGAAGATCGGTTGAAGAATCGAGGATATCTTCGCTTTCGAGGCAGTAGGGTTTGAATCGACCGCAATCATGTTTAGCCGAATGTTTGGTAAACCTAAACAGGAGACGAATGCTGTTGCCACTTTGGACAAGTTAAACGAGGTCCCTTTTATTTTTCCCATGCTATGCCATACTCAGCATATCTCGTTAATCCAACTGCTGGTGTTTGTTTACTTTGACTTCAATGAACTATAGTATTATTTTTCTAGTTTGCCCCAGTAAGGGGAGTTGTTGTCACCAATCGCCATGGCAAACGTTGCATGCTCACTTGAGCTATGAACTCCCAACAAACTCTTTGAAGTATTACTGATTGCTAATTTAGTTGATGAAATTACAAAAATAGCTTTTGTTTCGGATGGGTTGGGCTACTCTTGTGATGTGTGTTGAGGAGTATCTACTCCTGTATGATATGGCTTTTAAAATAAAATTTCGCTAGATAGTTTGTTAATTTCAAGAAAACCTTAGTCATCGGAGAGGATAGGGTTAGTTGTTTTCACATTCTCAGTTGTTTTCCCAGCTCCGAACTATAAGATGGTATATCTTGCCTTGCGCATCGTTTTAGTCTTTTTATTTTTTTCTTTATTGTAAGATAGATCATGCTTTAATTTGTATCTATGTACGTATGTTGTAAATTTCCTTCAAAAGTGTGTTATTTACTTTCATGTTGAGTATTGAATGACAAATAAGAGCTGCTCCATATCCCGGTCAAATCTTTAGGCATATGGTTTCCTGTGATTGTGGAAAGCAATGTCTTTACTTTAGTATCCTCAAAATTATCACATTATTTGTATGATCATACGTTCGAATGATTATTTGTTATATTTTGTGGTATGTCTTTACCCATTTGTTGGAATCAATTTATACCTAGGGAGAATCTCTCAAATTGAATGTTTTGTTTTTTGAATCATGTAGACACTTGAAATGCTGGAGAAAAAGGAGAAAGTGCTCCTTAAAAAGGTTGGAGCAGAAGTTGAAAAGGCCAAAGAGTTCACAAGGGGGAAGAACAAAAGGGGTAGGTTACTAAACTCATGGATACTTGATTTCGAGAATATCTTCTTAGTGCCTTTCTTTTCTCCAACTTTCACTTAATTTATGAGATGTTATTTGAGTTCTTGTTTTATGCAGCGGCAATACAATGTCTTAAGCGGAAGAGGTTATATGAACAACAAATAGAGCAGCTTGGAAATTTCCAGTTACGTATTCATGACCAGGTGCGGAAGCAATTTGTATATGATTCAAAAGATGATTTAGTTTGTTGGGCATCTTATGATATTAAATTGTGTTACAGATGATAATGTTGGAAGGTGCTAAAGCCACCACAGAAACTGTTGACGCGTTAAGAACAGGAGCAGCTACTATGAAGGCTATGCAAAAAGCAACGTGTGTACTGGAGTCCTCTTTATTGTTTAAATTTTTTACTTATTTAACTCTTTTCAGCATTTTCTTGTATTTCTTTTGTCTCAATTTCATGTCATGGCTTCTAATATCTATTCAGCTGTTCATTCTGATTTATGACATTGTTGAGTTGCGTCATTTTCTTTTTCAGGAATATCGATGATGTTGACAAGACCATGGATGAGATTAATGAACAGACTGAGAACATGAAGCAGATTCAGGATGCATTATCAGCTCCAATTGGTGCAGCTGCTGATTTTGACGAGGTCCTGCTCTGGATTTTTATTTATATTAGTTGCAAACAAGATATTTATATCTTTAGATTGTAGTAAAGTTACAGTGGTAGTGCTATAGACCCCCGATGCATGTCTGAGGATCATTGTGAATCTCTTTTCCTTTCAGGATGAATTGGAAGCGGAACTTGAAGAACTGGAAGGTGCTGAGTTGGAAGAACAGCTTCTTCAGCCAGCAACTACAACTCCTGCAGCCCCAGTGCAGGTCCCAGCTGGGCGGCAACCTACTCGCCCTGTTGCTTCAAAGCCAACTCCTGAAGAAGATGAATTGGCAGCTTTGCAAGCTGAGATGGCACTTTGAGCAGGTCCCTTTTCTCAGCTGTAACACTATCAATTTGTATTGTACTCCTTGCGTTAGTATGTTTTAGTCCAACTAGTTTTGCATTAATCATGGCGGTTAAATGATGTGTATGATTCATTACTCACGTTGGAACATCAGTAGTTTCAGTTTAGTTTTCTTTTATAATGTGTTAGTTTGATACAAATTGCCTTAGATAACTTGTGAGAAAAGAATGAAAATCTTATGTTAGGCTGTTCTTATCGGTTTTGCCTCTGGCTTTGGTTGAGCCAGAATTTTTGCAGGCATTTTTGTGCATCACAACTGGTGACTTCAATGGAGAATGTTTACGTGGAGATTTGTCTCTCCTGCTTGCCTGTCTTTGTGATTTATCGAACAGACCAGAGAATGTATGTATATAGGGGGAAAATTGAACATGAAAGTCGTTCAGTTCATAAAGTAAAACTTACTACTTTTATTTTGTTTGAGCTCGAACCTCCTTTTTACATTATACGCATGTTATATTTTGTATGGCCCAGTTTAACACGGTTTGTTAAATTAATGTATATCTTAAACATGCTAAGGCGAGGAATAAGAATGTGGTTATTCTATGCGCTAGAACACAGTAAAGATTGAGTAATGAATGAGTCTCCAGGAGGACTTCCGGTGTTAAATTTTATTTTCTTTATATAACTAATGATTTAAGTAAATTAAGATGTTTTTCTTGTTACTTTTTCTGGTCTGGAGGTCAAGACTTCACTGTGTTGTGTTTGTTTTGTTTTTTTTTTACATAGCACTGTATAGAACAACTTCTTTGATTAATACCAAATCATTTTAAGATGGTAATAGCAAATTGAATCCTGCGTTGACATCAGAACTCAAATAATACACTGGTTAGACTTCTTTTATTTCTGAAGTCCGTCAATCGTTCAAACCATGGTTTTATCCAATGCATTTTGGAAACGTTGAAATTCAAGAACTAGAAAACTATCTGTATCATTGTTTAGAAACTCCTTGAAAACAAAGTTGTTTGGCATGTGGAACTAACTAAACGTGGTAGTAAGTGTAGTAAAGATTATTCGAAATTAAATTTTCTTTTGGGGTTTTTTTAAGTAAAAGTGGGATATTTTTTGTGTGCACATAACTTTATGCAAAACCAACAATAAAAGAAAAAAATTTGACAATTTTGAAATTCAAAATATCAATGGAATTTATGAATACTATATCTTTTTTAACTTATTTTGAAACGGTAGAAATTCAAATTTCCTTTGGAATTTATGACATTCTCATTCCATAGAGAAGCACTTTGATTTTAACGACATCCCTCATTTAAAATTTTCCTTTTGCTGAGAATTGGGTTTATCGTTAACCTTGGAATCTCAGCAACCATAGGTGAATTTAAAATGCAAGTTGTTTTGTGGAGACCACGCGCATTAGAACTACTTTTCTCGGAAGCAAAAGGACCCAAAAAAGCAAAAGAAATTTCTCTACGACTCACGAAGGAGGAGAGTGGTGTGTGAACCAGAAAATTAGGTCACACCACTGAGTACTACTAAACTAATAAAAATAAGAAATTTGCAGACATCATAGAGACACACACATAGCAAAAAAGAATTTCCTTGAAAGAATAGAGAAGAAGAAATAAATACAATAGAGAATGTATGAAAGGAACACACAGAGAATAGATGAATGGGGTGAAAGGTTTACAAAGGTCAGTGAATGATGTAAGTAAGGACCAGAGCCAGCAGCATTAGCACATAGGCAACTCCTTGGTCCACTGAAATCCCTGCACACCCAATTGCAATTCAGACATCATGAACATCGTTGAAAAGGGAATAAATGAAAAAAGAAGAAGAAAACCCTAAAAAAAAAACTTGAGAAGAGGGTACATTGCATACATACCATCACTTGTAGGGGCAGGTGCAGGAGGAAGGATCTGAGCATTGATGGAAGAAGGCAGAGAAGCGAAAGCAAGAGCTATAAGGGACATGGCAAAAAGCTGAAGCCTTAAAACTTCCATTGCAATTCGACCTCAAAGGCTAAGGTTGTTCGATGGTTTATAAGGAGAGAAGGAAAATAAAAAACAGTGAAGATTGGTTTGGTAGAGAGAATCTTGGCAAAGCAGAAGCCACTCTGTATAGCAATATAAGTGAAGAGAAGAGGGCGAGAGTAGCCGTTGATGTTTGACACGTGTAGGGTGAGAATTACCTGCACGTTACACAGTGTGGGTGTAGAGTATAGAATGGGGTAAGACCTGGTCCAACCAATGAAGATAATTTGTTTTTATGTTTTTGTTCTATCAGCTGCTGCCAGTCTGGCACAGATTCATTGGAGGAATGTGTAGAATACAACTGTATTTATTTTTGAAACTCTTCAAATGAAACAGCGAACCGTTGCTTTGGTCTTGGAGTGTGGGGCCACATATAAAACTAATTCTCAACGCAATCATGCTGTTATGTTTTTATTAATGTCGTAGTATAGTCTACAGCAGTTACAGGCTGAGAACCCAAGGAGACAGATAATTTGAATTGGCACTGCTTGCTTATGATAATTATGTTTCCCAACTACGAATATTTTAGGGATTATGCAAAATCCCCAAATTCATACCATTTATCTTCTATATCAATTTCTAAACTCTTGTCTTTTTAATAATTAATTCAAATTTTAGAAGTAATATATTTATAACCAATCAACGAAAAAATATTAGCTGATTGAAGAAATTATTTTTAATTCAGTTGTTTAGATTTATGCTTCTGTTTAAATTTATAAAAATAAAATTATTTTTAAAAAGTTACGTTTTAAAACTTATATTTTCAACGTAACGAATTTGAATTTAGCTTCTAAAAAGACTGACTTTATTTATATTAATATTTTTGGATACGATATTATTTAAGTTATATTTTGGGCTAACATTGTTATTCGTGTTTATATCTTAAAAAATAATTTTTAAGTAACCTTATTAGAAATTTATAAATAAAAATATAAATTAATGAATATCCATTGATACCGTAAATATAAATTAATCCACGTTTATTTTTCAAGCATGAATACCAAAGATAATTAGAGATATTGTTTAAAAGATAGTAACGATAGATATTAGTTGTAATCGCCTCCTTTTGAATTCAAGTTGACTTGTATTTTAAGAATGTGTAATGGGTAAAATAAATATTTTTCTATTTAATAAAATTTATAAAAAAAAAATATTTTCACATATGTATTATATTTCATATTTAAGATAGTTGAGGAAGACAATTTGGGACTAGTCAAATAAAGTTGGTTTAAAATTAAAATTATGAAATACATGAAAAAAAAATAAACAAATAAAACATGAAATAGTTTTGATCAAATTTCTAAGTACTATTACTTATGGATTCGTATAATAATATACAAAGAGATGATTAAATTAGAGAGGAATAGTTTGATTGAGTGAGAATGGAGTATCCATATCCTCACCAAAGCGCTTCATTTCATTTAATGTCTAAGTTCTTTAAGCAACACAAATGTCAAGGAAATGCCGTTAATATGAAAATTAAAACTAACAATAGCAAGCGACAAACTTTGGTGTGTTAGTTAAACAACTTCCAAGTGGCCATAAAAAGCTAATGTCATTTCGTCAGACGACAAAACACTGATGAATGAAAGTCGAGCATAATTACACACAATTCAAGTCTTAACACTGTAAATAATATATTACAGGTCTTGGTAGCAGGTATCACAATAATACTGATTAAAGTGTTGAGAAAATAAATTTAGTCTTGAAATTAATAATGTGATTGCATTTAAAATCAGTGTCCTAAGGTATTATTGATTAACATTTGCCGTATTATTATTATTATTATTGTATTAACGATAATGACAATAAACATAATTTGATTATATTGTCATGTTCCCGAAGGATCAGTTTTGGTTTCACAGAGGCATCATAAAATGTAATTGTTAAGTTACATTTAGGAACAAAACTCAACCCTCTACTTGTACATTTTGATAGGTCACTTCAAGGGATTAAGCCTTGAGGTGGTGGTTGGTTTTGGCATACTATTCGTATCGTGTGATACCAACGTGAGTGTCAAAAGGATGGGCTTTTTAGTATTTGACCTTTGAAGGCTAAAAGAAATTTGTTCCATGATGATAGAAGTGAACAGAGAGGACTAAACAAAGTGTAATATTGAGAAACGAAGTTCTTGGGCTCCAGGGTATTTAGTGGCCGAGGATTTAAAATGGTTCCCTAATAAATAAAGGAGTTCTTAGTTTGTCATATACCAACCCAGTTTATTTTCCTAACGATAAAAACAAACGTAAAAAAATAAAGGATCTATATATATCATACTGAGGATTGGAGCCTCCTTAAGGCAAGTAACGCCGACCTAACTCAAAATGGGGACCAAAAATACTTGGATAATCTGTAATATATTTTGCTACAGAAAGCAAAGGGCTTCTTAAACTTCATGACCAATACAGAAAGAGAGGAATACAAAGTAACCTACCATCTCAGAGGATGTCATCGACTTTGCATTTTATTGTCAGCGTTTGAGAGCAGTACGACAACAAGCAGTTGGCCATTTATAGGCTAAGTAATTATTCAGCAACTGCTTTGATTGGGACAGGTGCTACTAACTCCAAATAGTCAAAATCATCTGTTAAACCAACCTGCACGGAGACGAAAGGGGCAAGCCATATAAGAAACAAAGAGACGAGGATAGTCAAATTTAATGACATAAATTAAGGCCATGTTTTAGCTGAGAAGATAAGAAAATAATGTATAAAGTGGTGAGTTTGCTAAGTTTTTCAAGTTACATTAATTCCATTCGTGTATTTATTTCACAGCTAAAAGCAGCCCCGACAAATGACACTTTAGCTGAGTATTGAGGCATTTAACTGAAATGACTGACCTCCTTGTACAAATTTTCAAGTTGTTCCTTAGCCTGGGGGAAATTGTTCGAACACCATTGCCTCAGGGTGAAAATGTTGTCTACAAATATTTGACAACAAATAGATATTATGTTTATTTTAATGATAATTAATGCAGTTACATATTTAGAGTTATCAGCATCATTAGAATTATAAATAAGTACAACCTCTTGTATCTATAAATCTCTCAATTAACAAATATTTTCCTTCCCTGTGTAAACCCCAAAAACTTCAACATGCATCGTAATAATAATGTGAAATGTGACATTCCACAACACGAGAGACTCCATTTCTCCCCTCTCAGATAAAACTCCAGTCAGGGAAAAAGGAGAGAAAGCATAGAAGGTAGAACCTGTCCATCTGTTTGCCGATGCCTGGGCAACTGCAATTGCTTCTCCTGCCAATTTTAATACCGAAACATCAGTCTACCAACTCCAAAACTACAAATTTATTAGAATTAACATCCTAAACTTCAAAGCAATGTACTGATATATATAATAAATAAATAAACAAGCCTTTCTTAACTCATTGCTTCAAAGGCAGCCGGATCATTATCTCTATACTTTTCCAACTCAACCTGAAAATTTCAGATGTTAATAAACTATTACAGAACTGACAAAATACTGATCATCATAGTTGATGCTTGCTATCAATTAATCCGTAAGCCAACCTTCAATTCATTGTGCTGTTGCTCAACGGCTTTCAGATCTGCAACGGCCTCCGCTCTTTCCTCCTGATAAAATTGTAATATTAGGATATACAATAACCGGGCCTCTTATTTATACAATAGCAGAGCGAGTTGGAATCTAGCATGAAATATGTCATAACTTACAGATTCCTCTCGCCCCTTCCTCAGCTCCTGACATTGCTCAACAAGTTGGGCATGCCGATTTTTACTGTTTTGAAGATCAGAATCAAGTTTGCGGTACACATTTCTAAGCTGTGAATGAGTTTTATAATGTCATAATTAGTTTTACATCAAGATACTATAGCGACTAAGAGTATGAAAATGAAGACGCATCAATAGAACTTAGCCAGCTTAACAGCCAGGTAGTTATAAGTGAGGTGTTATATCAGTGCTACCCTTTGCTGGCAGTGACCAATTTATCAACATAAAGATGATACAATGGCAAAAGCTTTATCAGCATAACTTCACCTGATTACCAGCACAGCTAGGTAGACTCCAGAAATACACCTGCGAGGTGAAGGTAGTAGGATCATTAAAAAATAGCGTAAAGTATACTAATACTCCTGAAAATTTTCATCAAGTAATACCCCTTGTTGGTCTTATCCCTAAACTAGTTTTTCTCAATTGTTGAAATACGTCATACATTTTAGTCTACACATTGCACTGACACCCATGTTATTCAAGAAACGCATCACTGACATCATTATTGGAAAAAAGCGTGATTGGTTCGGATGTTAACTTACAGATGTTCCTATCTTGTCTTTGGAAACAAGGTCATCATCCACTAAACTTTGTACAACATCTTTCACAGACTGAGAAATGACACCCTTTCTGGGACCCATCTTCTCGAGCTCCTTCAGCTGAAACAACAAAAAACAAAAGTAGAATAGAGGCATATGTACCATTCAATAAATTACATGATAGAAGAAAGAAAAAACAGTTTATCATGTAGGCAATAACGAAGTGGTAAACGATTGTGATCACCAGGAAGAAGTCTTGGGACTCGTAAAAGATTTGAAGCATCTTCTCCCGCTTCTCTTCCAAAGAGAGACCCCTTTTCTTCGACTGCACCAAGCAAAGCGCATCAACCGAGTTGCAATTCATGACAATTTCACAAACAGTTAAGGAACTGAGCTCATTAACACAATTTGCAGAGAGCCATGCACCAATTTATGATCGTTTTACGTTTTTGAGTCAATCATGATTATTTTCATAACAAAAAATTGAAAAAACAGATATCCATAAGAAAATACGAGGTGAGCTAATCGAACCTAGCAATTCACACCATATCAAAGAAAGCTGTGATGAAAATTAATTATTGTATTGAAGCCGTTGTGAAATGATCGAAAATAACAGAATTAATTGAGGCAAAGAGGGCGCGCAGTTACCATTGCGACAGATTTCGTCGGCGACGGAGTGACGCGGAAAGTTCCAGAATCGCGATTCTCCAATTTTTGGCGGGAAAGTGGTTGAATAAATTTTGTACTTTCTGTTAAAATTTTCCTTTATATAGAGAGAGAAAGAGGCGCGGGGAAAATAAGATAGTGAAAAAGAAAATGAAGTTTCGTAAGAAATAATTGAAGAATTTTAAAATATATATTAATACTTTTTTCTTTATTCTAATTTTTTATTCCTATATCTTTTAAAATTTTGATTTTTTACCTAATTTTCTTTTCCATAATTTATTCTTTTAACTTTTAACTAGAGTAATTAGGCTCCCACATTACTTTTACATAGTTTTGATCCTTACTTTTTAATTATTTAAAACTTTTTTCAAGTACTTTTATTTTATTTTTACTTTAAAAATGATAAATTGAGATTGAAGAAAAATAGAATTATCCGACTTTCTTTTCTACAGAATTATCTTTAAAGATGATAATTAAAAACCAATGAATAAAATTTTGAATTACGAACTAAATTTTCTTTTTCAAATATAAAGATCAAAATTACTATTAAATTGTTTTTTAAAATAAAATAGATTAACTCTAATGGAGAAGAAAAACATGTGAGCAATTTTATTATTATCACGTATTATACTTGATAACATAGTTAATTATATTGAAAAGCAATATCACTTTTTTTAGAGACTAACTTTATAATGGATTATACACGTTTAACTTTTTATTACAAAGATACAATATTATAGTATTTTGAAAATATTAAAAATAGATATAATATTTTGTTATATTTATTAATGTAATTGAATTCACAATCTCTTACATGTTACCTTTTAATTTTTCCATCAAATAAATTTTATAACTCCTTTATTTATTATACATTGTAACTTCTAAATTTGTATACATTTATTAATATATGGATTTTTTTTTTTTGCATATATATATATTATTTTTGACAATTAAACTACGTCAGATGATTATAGTTTNGCCTTTCTTAACTCATTGCTTCAAAGGCAGCCGGATCATTATCTCTATACTTTTCCAACTCAACCTGAAAATTTCAGATGTTAATAAACTATTACAGAACTGACAAAATACTGATCATCATAGTTGATGCTTGCTATCAATTAATCCGTAAGCCAACCTTCAATTCATTGTGCTGTTGCTCAACGGCTTTCAGATCTGCAACGGCCTCCGCTCTTTCCTCCTGATAAAATTGTAATATTAGGATAAACAATAACCGGGCCTCTTATTTATACAATAGCAGAGCGAGTTGGAATCTAGCATGAAATATGTCATAACTTACAGATTCCTCTCGCCCCTTCCTCAGCTCCTGACATTGCTCAACAAGTTGGGCATGCCGATTTTTACTGTTTTGAAGATCAGAATCAAGTTTGCGGTACACATTTCTAAGCTGTGAATGAGTTTTATAATGTCATAATTAGTTTACATCAAGATACTATAGCGACTAAGAGTATGAAAATGAAGACGCATCAATAGAACTTAGCCAGCTTAACAGCCAGGTAGTTATAAGTGAGGTGTTATATCAGTGCTACCCTTTGCTGGCAGTGACCAATTTATCAACATAAAGATGATACAATGGCAAAAGCTTTATCAGCATAACTTCACCTGATTACCAGCACAGCTAGGTAGACTCCAGAAATACACCTGCGAGGTGAAGGTAGTAGGATCATTAAAAAATAGCGTAAAGTATACTAATACTCCTGAAAATTTTCATCAAGTAATACCCCTTGTTGGTCTTATCCCTAAACTAGTTTTTCTCAATTGTTGAAATACGTCATACATTTTAGTCTACACATTGCACTGACACCCATGTTATTCAAGAAACGCATCACTGACATCATTATTGGAAAAAAGCGTGATTGGTTCGGATGTTAACTTACAGATGTTCCTATCTTGTCTTTGGAAACAAGGTCATCATCCACTAAACTTTGTACAACATCTTTCACAGACTGAGAAATGACACCCTTTCTGGGACCCATCTTCTCGAGCTCCTTCAGCTGAAACAACAAAAAACAAAAGTAGAATAGAGGCATATGTACCATTCAATAAATTACATGATAGAAGAAAGAAAAAACAGTTTATCATGTAGGCAATAACGAAGTGGTAAACGATTGTGATCACCAGGAAGAAGTCTTGGGACTCGTAAAAGATTTGAAGCATCTTCTCCCGCTTCTCTTCCAAAGAGAGACCCCTTTTCTTCGACTGCACCAAGCAAAGCGCATCAACCGAGTTGCAATTCATGACAATTTCACAAACAGTTAAGGAACTGAGCTCATTAACACAATTTGCAGAGAGCCATGCACCAATTTATGATCGATTTACGTTTTTGAGTCAATCATGATTATTTTCATAACAAAAAATTGAAAAAACAGATATCCATAAGAAAATACGAGGTGAGCTAATCGAACCTAGCAATTCACACCATATCAAAGAAAGCTGTGATGAAAATTAATTATTGTATTGAAGCCGTTGTGAAATGATCGAAAATAACAGAATTAATTGAGGCAAAGAGGGCGCGCAGTTACCATTGCGACAGATTTCGTCGGCGACGGAGTGACGCGGAAAGTTCCAGAATCGCGATTCTCCAATTTTTGGCGGGAAAGTGGTTGAATAAATTTTGTACTTTCTGTTAAAATTTTCCTTTATATAGAGAGAGAAAG